GGTCCTCCGGCACAAATAAGGCCACTGGGACGCTACTCAAGATGGCGCAGACTAATCAACTTCCGGTGAGACCGAGACCGAGGAGCGAGGAAATGAAAAATAAGAGAAGTGAAACGCAGCCCATGGGTGTTTCTCAATCGCGAGTACGCTTGCTTGGTAGCACATGTCTGCCGAGCATCTTGCTTCAGAAGCGAGTCAAGAATACTTCCTGGCATTCAGAAAACGAAGTGTGGAACACGCTAGCAAGTGTGCAGGTGTGCGTCATATGAGAGGCCCCGCCTTACATCTTCCGCCACAGATTTGGGGAAATTGGTCCGTGCGCAAAGCATTGTGGGGATTTTAAGACCGCGGAGTCTACTCATGTGCAGCCTCGATATTTCTCCAAACGGAGTACGCCGGGCTCGGTAGATTTCCAAGTATGCTGGAGATTGGAACAGTACTTCGGCGGCACTCGATGACGTAGTATGCTTGAAATAGTGGCTCTGAAGCAGCTTTACTCGCGATTGAGAAACACCCCCAGTGTAAAAGGACTTCCTGGAACTTAAGGAAGTGGTCATAGCCACAAAGGAAGTGCCATCTCTTTCAAAGTACATTTCAAAATAAAAGCTGCCTTCTAACTGCTATTTGTGTTCCATGACAGGCGGTAGTGTGTATTCGTCATTCAAAAGAGGCAACCGGTAGACAGACTGCGTGATATATACAAACAACAAATAGCGTGCGTTCCATTTCCACTCTCGTCCATCACAGACTGTTTCACAGACTGTTTCACATAAAGACATATAATCGAAAACATGTTTAGTGCGGTACTGGAAAATGAAAAATAATAGCCGTCTGTGTGTGCCTTCTTCACTTCCGTTTCGCTTCTCATGCACTGATTCGCTAAGCTGAACAGCCAATCAGAGTGATTTATTTTGCCGACAGCCTTTTGCCATGCCGGAACGGTGCTGGACCAAGCCCCCAGGAAGTGCGCCGGACTCTGAGGAAAATATCCGTTGTGGCCAAACGGCAGTACTACACTTCCGTATCAGTCACTGGGCCCGGAAAGACTTTTTCCCATTGACTAACATTGGGAAAGAGACGTCTGTAAATCGTTGGATCATTTTTTTTAAACTAAATAAACTACCCAGTATGAACATTTGTATAGCCCTTATTAAAAACATTCGGTCCTCAAGTTGTAAAATGTGCTAATAACGTTATTCTGAGAGTTATTTTCCTCGGCATTATGAACGCGGATCTTACCCACGGGACTGCGCCGCCCGGCACGTTCATGTGACGTGTTCAGTACTACATGAGTGTTACCTTTACCCATGGATGCACAATAAGAACGGATTATATGATTATATGAATACTTTCGTGACGTTTCGCTCTCTCAAAAGTTGGGCCATTTTGTCTTCATGCGCCAATGAGCAACTCTCATAGGAATGAACGAGGCCCCGCCTCCCACGCTGTATCCAGTTGTTGTTATACATTCATGTGCTGGACACACGAATCTGAGTAGGGCGACAGGATGCTCATCGACGGCCAGACATCTATCGACGGCCGAAATCGGCCCGATGTGTCCGGGCCTTTAGATGCTTTTAGATGCTCCAGGATTTATCTCGTTCAAAGCATTAATGCATTCATTGCATCCATCACTTCCTGCAATGTGCATTCTTTTGTTGTTGTTAAATATGCTATATAAAATACATTGAACATGAACCAGATCAGTGTTTTCTTATAACGTAAGGCAAGTTCGATTAAATATTTTCAAAGACTTTTTTTATGCAGCTCGGAGTAAAATAAAGACCAACTTTAATAAATAAAAACAGACATCAATTACATGCAAACATCTTTGCATGTATACTTTTTCTCATTTTAATCTGACCCACCTTCAGCCTCGATGGTTCAAGCTGCTGTTTACTTTGCATCTGCTGACTCACAAACAACTGTGGAACTGTGGCGCGCTTGTAGTAATTGCGCCACATTTGCGCTTCAGATGAGGCTCCCTCCGCAAAATGAGGCTCCCTCCGTGAGATGAGGCCCCCTCCGCGAGGTGAGGCCCCACGCAGTCTGCGTGATCTGCATGTAGGGAGGGGCGCAGGGGCGGTTCTAGGGTGGGGGCCAGTGCCCCCCTAACACTGACTTTGGACCCCCCTGTGGCCCCCATGAAAATGAAAAAAAAATAAAACGTTTATGATTAAACGATTTCTTGGCTGACAGAATAGAATGAACTAACGATATTTGTCATTCTAGTCGGACCCATTAGAGCAGGGGTCTCCAACACGTCGATCGCAAGCTACCGGTAGCTTGCAAGCCCTCAATAAGTAACTCGCCAAGCAAATCCAAAATGTAAAAATATACCAAAAAAAAAGGAAATGTAATTAAAAGAATCTACCCTATGCATAAACGAAACTTCAATCATAGCGAACTCTATCTACTTACTCCAACTCTATATCTATCCAACACACCTGCTCCCCCCACCCCCGACAATGAATATCGACCAATCACGTTCTTGCTTGATTTGCGGGACCAGCGTTGCAGTCGGGAAGAAAAGCAATGTGGAGCGGCACCTCACCGCTTCATAAGGAGTTTGACCTTTCCTTCTGGCAGAATCTACACAACACATCAGCCCCATTGAACAGCCTAGTCGTGCCAGCCTATACATCACATGAGGGGCAGAGTTTTACTGTGTGTGTGTTGCAACTTGCATAAATATTTATTGCACTTGACGCACACATACGCATGGCGTACAGGGGGGACTGTTTAAAAAACAGTTTAAAAGGGGAGTGATTAAAGTAAACTATGCATAAATAAAAAGAAAGAATGCTAACTAGGTAACATAAGATAAGAATAAACAAGTTTAAATGATTTGTTATTGGTTGTGATCATATTCTAAAGATGTTTGGATTATTGAAACGTATACAGCTCCCTTTCATCTGAGTGTTGAGAGCTGTATCCATAAATTCATGTTGTGCTCAAAGTGCTCCAGATTGATGCATTTAACTTCAACATTTAAAAAAAAATCTTCCCGGGGGTGCATGTCCCCGGACCCCCCTAGAGGATGTGAGGTCCCCCCTGGAGGAGGTGAGGTCCACCCCCAAATAAAGCAGGTTAAAATAATTAAATGTAATACATGTTATTTTAGTAAACACTGAAAACGGGTCCCACAGACCCAAACAGCACACAAAGGTTAAAGGTAAGCATATAATAATGTTAAAATGTGCTAAATATATACACTGCAAAAAACAAAAAGAAAGAGGAGTAAAAGTAGCTCACGACTTGTTTTATTTTTTGAAGTAGCTCTCATCCTAAAAAAGGTTGGAGACCCCTGCATTAGAGCGTAAAAACTGTAACTATAAGTAGCTGAAATAATAATGTGTAATGAAACAAATACCAATAACTGTATTGCATTGTTTTCTTATGCGCAATTACTTAATACTTTCTTTGTCTTTTTCGTCCTGCATTTATTGTGCCCCCCTCAGAAAATAACTGGCCCCAGCCTGGCCCCCCCAGTCAAATTGGTCTAGACTGGAGGGGCGTGCCTGACGTCAGTCTTTATATGAGTCAGAAAACCAGATAACTCCAGAGTGTAACATGACATCAGTGCACAACAGACAGCTGAAACTGAAGCTAAAGTTAATCCTGTCATGGGGCTGGAGATGAGTTTCGATTCGTTTTGGTGAGTTGGCGTTATTACGTTGCTCCCTTAAAATAAGCACCACCAGAACTAGGAAGCACGCAAGGTCAAGCTCGTTCTCAGCTTGTTGACAAGATGATATGGATTTCCTTGAATGATAGCCTGGCCTGTCCTCTCCTATCCATGATCATTTAAAGTTATTAGCTAGGTCAAAGTATTCAAAGATATAATTAAATTTTTCTTACCACTTCTTCTGACGTAATTAAGAAAAACGTTTTTAAATACAAACTGAAAACATTCCCTGGGAATTTCAGAAAGGACAGCCATGCTCAGATCTAATATTAGACTAAACAAGTATTTTCTGATTCTGAATGTTGGTTAAAAAAAGTATTTGTGGACCCAATTACGTCACGGTCTGAAACGGCATCAAAAAACATATTTTACTACAACTACTGCCTGGGTGCTTGGTCTCTTGCGATTTCTTTGCCTTTTTACTGCCGTGTATTACGGGAGCAACTTTAGGTCATACTTGGTTATGTGATTAATTTGCTATAATTTGATCAATCGCAAGTGTTAACTTTGGGTTTGATGGTCAAATCCCTGTCAGTGCTGGTAAAGAACCGAGACGAAAAGGTGTCAGTATGTAACAGTTTTTTATTTCCTGTCATGTACTTAATCAAGCACAAGACAAGTATTTCACAACACAAGGAGAAGCGAAGAAATAGATACATATTACAGAGATGATAGATGGCATCTGCTCAACAAAACAAACAAAAACAACTTTGTTCAACTTGTAGATCAGGGGTACTCAAACTTTTTTATTAAAGGTCCAGTTGTGAACTTTATACAAGGTCACTGGTCCGGATCAATGCCAGTAAAGGCCCCCCCCCCCCCGAGCGGAGAAACGAAACTGAAATTAAGAAGCAGTTTCTTGGCGCTCTATGCATGGAGTTTCCCGACATGTCGTTGCAGTAAATTAAAGGGTGTTTCATGTTGTCGTTGCTGTGGACCTTCTTAATCTACCTTCTTTGGGGGCCCCCTTCTGGTCCAAGCACTTGCCTGCCTTGCCAGTCGGTAAACGGCGCCTCTGTATACACACACACATTCAATACATACATACAGTATGTCAAGGTAAACTTGCGGTTAACTTGCGGTCTGCTATGCGTGTCACGCTCGCGCACACAAGTAAATATATATGCACGTTCATTCTCACAACGCGTCAGACACAAGACGCGCGTACATGATGATGTACATTAATTTATCAGAATCAGAATTTTTTTTTTTTTTTATAATTTCTTTTAATTTTTTTGTAATTGGACACAGGGTTCGGTCCGGATTGATTTGCAGTTCGGTCCGCATCCGGACCTTGGTCCGGAGTTTGAGAAGCCCTGTTGTAGATGTATAAATATTGAGTACTGTACACAGACAAAACTCTTCAAATCTCCACTGAAACCAGAACTTGCTCGGTAGAGCTTGGGCAAGCCGCCATTAGCTCCAATCTGCAGGCCATTACAATTTAGACATTTTTAAATATATGCTATTCACGGAATACTTAAGTGGCCTACATTGGAGTGGAGTTTGTGACTGCTATGGTGGATTAGCCGTCCGGGGAGCATACACTATTTATTTCATTGTCTAGAGTTTTTGATTTGTTACTTCATGTGTACCAAACCTGACATTAGTTTTGGCATTAAAGGTGAAAGTGAGGGTTTGGTAGAAACTAAATAAGACACAATCCTCCAATAGACAACTTTACAGCGGCCATTTTGCATCCCCTTTGTATGCGCTTACTATCGTTCGTTTCATGAGATCGTGGACACTCTGAAAAAGTTAGTTATTTGAAATTTTGTATTTACAATTTCACAAATCTGGGCTGCAAAATGTTGCAAGAAGCAATACATAAGAAATAAACTCCCTGTGCAGCAGTCTTCAGGAGAGTAGTGGTTTTTGAGGAATGTCGTTTCTCTCTTTTTGTGTCAACTCAACTTTTTTTATTTGTTATACAGCACGTTTGGTTTTTATAAAATATCTTCGAAAAAAACAAAAAACTTTAAAAGGAGTTTTCAGCCAACTGTTCTCTGTCCTCATGTTATTGGAAAGAAGTTACATCCACATCCTCTCGTAAATGAATCGCAACATGTTTTTGGTTTCAGCACAGAAGGCCTCAGAGATACAATTTTCTTTTAGAAACTCCCAATATTTCTGGGGGAAACAAAGAGGTGCGAATGGGAGTGAATTTTCAAGGGCAAATTCAAATAAAGATATCACAGAAATATAACAGCTGTGAAAATCAGAATAATTCTATAACAAATCATTGTGAAACCATAGGAATGTAGAACAGGGTGACGTAGACAGCACAAAGATGTAGTTAAAGTACAAAAAGGTCTCTGGAAAAAATCTGTATATGTAAGAGTTGAATTGTTCTATAACTTACATGTATAGCTGCTTCAGAGTTCACACAGTATGTACTGACTGGTGGCAGCAGTTTTAAGACAATAATGTATTTATATATTTACAAATCATTTTTCCTGTGCAAGTTTGAGGTGTTTTGTTAATTTGCACAGTCCCCTTGCGTCTTCACACCTGTATGCAAGAGTTCAATGGACTTCTAGAAAAAGTGTTAAAAGACACATTTTCATTTCTGCGTTTGCACCCCTGGGAATTTCTGACTTTAAAGACAGAGATTAGGTGTCTGATGTCAGTGTGTGTTTGGAGGACGGGCAGCCATGTTGGGATTTCCTCTCTCTGCTGGTTGGATGGTGATTTAAAAGTAATCCTCATTATCATCAACGGCTGCTCTAGGTTGTCTGCAGGGGAAATAAGGAAAATACATTATTACAGAAAGAAAATAAAGCACAATTCATTTTTTTTTGTTGTAGGAAAGATTATTTTATTATGTGCTGGGCAGTTGAAAGAGAGTAACTCCTGTTTTCCATCATAGTTACTGTTGCTTACTCGAACAATTGTTTTGCATAGCTAGTGTCCTAACACCTGCTTTGTATTTTTTATTGTGAGCGTAGCTACTTCATGACAGGTTGACATTTACATAGATGACTCTGTGCTGCCAGATTAGACCGTGACATTAAAATAAGTAGTGGGGGCAGAAAAACTGTATGCTGTGTTTGTTGTATTTGCCTCGTCCAAAAGGTGTTTGTTGTTTTTGAACACACAAACATTGGAGGGGATATTACATTGTGGGATGATAGGCGACGCCACTGTCTAATGTGTCAACTCTCCAGAGAAACTGCTTTTTTATTACATTCGCTCCAAAGATAAGCACATTCCTGCTACCTACCATTACTTATGTTTGTAATTTCGTAATGCAATATCATGATATATCATGATTAATAAATACTGGAAAATAAATTGAGAAACTTCTAATGGATAAAATAAACAGGTAGCAGTGGCTTAAACCAGGCCTCTCACCACATTGATGCTAATAGATTTATAAAAACAATATATTTCCATAGCCTAGTTTTGAAAATTATTTACAGCTTTTACAAGTTTGGACAGTTTTTTTGTATTATTTAAAAAAACAAAAACGTATTTGTACTATATTTTGTACCTGTGCACTCTGCCTCTGCATCTTCTGCATGGAGAAGGACGCCAGGTCTCTCTCCCCCGACCCTTCTCGTTCCGATTCACGCTCCCTCTTTCCTGTAATGCTTCCTCTGTGCAGAAGTCCTGAATGTCACAACAGGCAAGACAAAAAGGGTTATTGTTTGAAACACTCTACAAGGTTTATGTGTAATTACTAAGTAAGAAGTAAAGGTTATGTGATTACTCATCAGATTACTCATATGTTGCGTAGGCACATGTGTATCTAGATACAAGCTTCTATAATTTTCTTCATAAGAAATGTATAGCAGAGCTTTCCATAGGCGCTAGCTGGCACCTAAAGAGTCGACTCCTAGAACTAGTACACGCTATACTGTAGGTGTACATGTTACAACTATCTGCCTTCACTTCAGAACCATGAGAGCACAATGTTAGAGAAACGTGCGTATCCATCTGTATCATTCCCGATGCTCTATATAAATGTGTTATTGTTTGACAAACATTAGCAAAATAACCAATAAGGCAACACATTAAGAATTGAATTGATTGCATAGTGGACAGCCTCAGTGACATTTTCAATAAAATACATTAAAAATAAACCATGAATAAGGAAAATAAAGTTTCCAATTAGTTAGTGATTTTTGATATATCTGTTTTCGGACTGTGCACACAAGTGACCTTATTCTCCTTTACAATAATTCACTACAGGTTTATAGTTGGATAGGCATCAATAAGTCAGTATTAATGCAATAATTAGGTGTACGTGGTGCTACTAATGGATCATTTCTATCACATGCTACAGCTGAACATCAAAGCAGCACACCAGCGACAGTGGCACCAGCCCCTTCCTGTTTCCTACCTGGGTGTTGAGGCACGGCGAACTCGTGGTAAAGTCGGCTGCTGGTGATGGTCTGGCTGGCTTCTGGCACTGAGGGGTATACAGAAAACAGCAAACAGACATATTTAATTTAGTTATTAATGAGAGGGCTCATAAGTATCATATACTCACAATATAACAATTTCACCTTTTCCAAAATAACAAATATATGGCATATTTAAAGCCAACATCTTAAATGTGCCAAATAACTTCCAAGGCTAGTTTTTACTGTTTTCAATGTCGGCCCGTAGTTGTATGAATGAAATCCAAGCCTTTACTGGTTGGTCAGGACATTAACATGTGAGTGACATGTATGCATCGCACAGGATATATCGGAGAGGTAAGAGTTCACACAAGGATAATGAAAATAAAAACAGTATAAATAAAAATAAAAATATGATACCACAATACTTAAGTACTGAGCAACAATGAGTAAACCCTACGTTTGACAACTTTTAATACAATTTTAAGGGTGCGTTTCGGGCGATGCTACCGGAAAGTCTTAATAATCGAAAGTGTTCATTCTCTGGGAAGGATGAATCTCAATGTCACTCTGTCCATAACATTCTTTCTTGTATTTAGAAATTGTTGGTGATATGCACAAAACAGACTAAACTAAACGTAAAATGGTAGGAATGCTAACAGAAATTACTCATATCGGAGATCGCCCTACCATGCTGCTGCTGCTGCTGCTGCTGCTGCTGCTGCTGCTGCTGCTGCTGCTGCTGCTGCTGTTGTTGTTGTTGTTGTTGTTGTCTGCTGCTAGGCCCCATTTCTTCTTCATTTTGAAAGTGAAGGATGTTCCCGCTGCCGTTACTCGCTGCAACCGAACTCCCCGACACTCCAGGCACTGAGAAAAGAAAAACACAGACAAAAACAAGAGACTGACTGATACGGGTAGATGTAGCACGCCATTTCTACAATACCATCAACGATAAGGGCAAGAGAAACGCTGACACATCTTTATTAATATTACATTTACACAGATGACATTATGAAGACTATCCTAGCCATCAACTTGAATCTAACTTTAAATGTCACTGTATTTTTAAGTTTTCAGTTTCTATAATTACTTGAGCTGTTTTTTTAAATGTTTCTTATTTCTTGTAATTTATTGTATTCTATAAATAATAAACAACTGCTTTCGGACTTAAGGCATACAATAAGGCATTTTCCTTTTTTCGTTATATTTATAATGTATACAACATTTATTTTTATTTTTAACAAGGTACAATCATAGACAATAAATAAATAGTTAAAATAAAATAAATTCACTTACAATGTGAATTGTTGTTGTTGGTCCCTGGCTGCTGCTCTCCGAGGGGGTAGGCCATCATTCCTCCATTCCCGTTCCCATTGGAGGACGGGACTGATGCCAGCAGGCCTGAAAGAAACAAAACACACAAACACATATTTATTTTGTGAAAGGAGAGGACATTTTTCTTCACAGAACAGACAACGTAACTGTTTCCATTTGAATGTTATTTTGCCTGCCTCGTCCTTCCTTTGTGTGGAGCACGAAGATGAGCCTGCATTTTTTGAGTGCAGTAAAAATGTTTTTTTTAAGGCTAAACACCAAAAAATATAGATTTTAATTTCTTTGGCCTTCGATACGCTCTTAATTTATGCACAAGTTGGAAAGAATTCTACACAGTCACTACTGGAATGTTACAAAAATATAATATGTATAATATAAGTGTAGCCTTATCTTTATCTGCAACGCTTTAAACAGAAAAATCACTGATGCCTTTAAATGTACGCCTCGAATGTCCACATTATAAATCAGGATTCAAAGCTTCAAACTCTTTGGTACCGTGCAGATTTGTTACTTCTCTTACCCAGTCCTCTGTATCGGCTCAGCTGCTGGTAGATCTGCTTCATCCTCTCGATGTTGAGCCGGCTCGCCTCTGCGTGATGAACCATGGGTTTGGGGTAATGAACGCCGATGATGCACTTGGCCGCGGCCTGCACGGACTCCGGAGCGTTCCACGGGTCGTAGATGTACTTCGCAGGGAAACCTCGGAGGACAGGTAAGTATCGTCTGGAAGCACAGGGAGACATTAGATTAGTTAACAGCGGCAGGATTAATGCAGAAATACAAGATCTCATACTTTAAAAGGATCGGAAAAATATTTGAAAGCAGTTGCAATAACATTATTTATGTGTTTTTACTATTGTAAATGTTAGTTTGTGAGGTTTTATTGTGAAATATTGAATATGCAGTACAATTGTTTTGTTAGCGTCCTCATGGATGTATCTGATAAGTATACACCTTTTCTTACTAAGATTATTATAAATCAATCATCGTGTAAATGTCAAACATTAACATCATACGTATGTGTTGTGACAGGGAAGCTGTGGCTCAGTGGATAGTGTGCTGGACTTCGAATCAGGGGATAACAAGTTTGAGTCCCACTGCAGTCAGCATGTCGTTGTGTCCCTGGGCAAGACACTTCACCCCAAATTGCTCCTGTGGGGATTGTCCACAGAACTGAATGTATGTAAGTCGCTTTGGATAAAAGCGTCTAACAAATGACATGTAATGTAAAATGTAATGACTGATAAGAGCATGATGGTCATCACCATGTCATGCTTACAGGTGTTATGGAAAATAGCTGCTACAAAGTGAAAGCTACAAACAACCACAACACTCAGTCACAATATGGCTGCAGTGCATTAGAGTGAGTTAGCATCGCAGTGCACAATGAGGACAATGTAGAAAAAAGGAGGGGGGCTGTGGTCACGGACAAAATGTACAGTAATTTGGTGTGATAACAGCCACACTACAGACACAAAGTGTAAACCTCTGAGAGATGAAGCCGATAAAACAAGGACTGCAACAAGATAGAGAGGTCAACATCTATCAGAATCAGAATACCTTTATTAGTCCCACAGAGTCTACCGTTTCAAACTGATGACGTTTTTTCTTCGCTTGGACTGTCATGGATTTGCTCCGTGTGACAAAGAGAGGCCACCTACCTATTGTACCAGGTCCGACCTTACCAAGTCCAAGGATCTCTAGAGAGAGATCACTGCTGGTTGAACGATGATGCTAGGAGACGTCTACTGTGACACGCGGTTAGAAAGCAGAGTGCATTGACCCCCACCCACCCAACGTAAACTTGAAAAGTTCTGCCATCAAAAGATTTTTTTTTTCTTAATTTGTACTACTTTCTTGTCTTTGATTCTCCTTTGGTTTAAAAAAAAAAAAAAGCATACCCATATCTTTATATTTCTAGAACTTTCGTCAAGAAAAAAAATTCAATTTAGAGAAATATTCATATGAACTTTTAAGTTTGTTAAGCCAAATATCTTAGGGCTGGGCAGTATGTCGATATTATGTCAGTATTGTGATATGACACTAGATATCGTCTTAGAATTTGGTATGGAATATCATATGTGCTGTTTTTCCTGATTTACCTTCACCCATTACTGATGATCAAACATTAAAAAAAATCTTTCCATATACTTTTTAATGAAAACTTCAATTGTCATCCTTACAATATCTTCACAATACCGATATAGATTTATTTGGTCGAAAAAAAAGTTTCCTTCATATCACCCAACTCTAAAATGTTGATAAGATAAAAAAAACTGTAGGTTTGTGTTTGATGACAGAAGTCCTCCATTGTACTTCACAGCTCCAGGACCCTCCCTCCCTCCAATTCCCCCCAATGGTCAGACAGTGGGGGACTGAGAAGATAGCACATGCATTTAAGTGGTCAGATCCTGCTGACTGCCCCTCCCCCCACAACCACAGTGCCACACTCCGGGCCGGCCCACTAGGAGGTCCCCTGATTTCACCAAAAAGGGAACACAACCCTATTGCCAGGAAGGACCTTGACCTGCCGGTAGCAAGTGGTCCTGCAGCGGACGGTGGGTGGTGTGTGGGCGGTGCAGAGAGCGTGTATGTGTTATAAAGTGAAACTGAGAAAGGTTAAGCTTTCAGATACAACGCAAAACAAAATGTCAATGCTGTTAAGCTTTATTGTTCAGGATTTTGCATTGCAAATGGATCTGCCTTATTCACGTTGCATCTCATTTAAGCAAAATAGAAACAGTGCCAAAACCTTTTACCGAAAATATTAGCAAGCATTTTAAATGTCAAATCTGAAGAAAATCATGCTCATTTAATGTGGGAAGCCCGACTTGTGATCAACATTTATATGGAATTAATTCTGCAGCACTACTCTGCTGTATGTTTCATTTTTTAAGTGGTAGCGACACATTTTAAATAAAAATGTTCCGTCTCGTGTATATTGGCCACAAAATGGATGAGAAACAGATATTATCAACTACATTTAGATATTTCTAGCTCCTAACCCTTTTTGTGCCACTAATATATCAAGTTAAAGATTTAGAATTATACAAAATCAGTTCATGTGACCTAAAGCAAGTTTGAATCGGCAGGGCTGCATTCCCACAAGCAGAGCACCACTGAACATTTCTCAAAAGGATCGGACAAGGGGCTTTGCCCAGCGTGCACGGACCAGCGAAGTGTGGCACAAGAAACGTGTGTGTGTGTGTGTGTGTGTGTGTGTGTGTGTGTGTGTGGTGTGTGTGTGTGTGTGTGTGTGTGTGTGTGTGTGTGTGTGTGTGTGTGTGTGTGTGTGTGTGTGTGTGTGTGTGTGTGTGTGTGTGTGTGTGTGTGTGTGTGTGTGTGTGTGTGTGTGTGTGTGTGTGTGTGTGTGTGTTTCTTTGTCTATACAATAATGTGAAGTCTCCTGCTCTCTGTGCCTATGTTTCCCTGTCTGCATGTAGTCCAGAGACACAGAGGGAGGAAAGGTGCCATCCAGGTAGGGGGGTCAGCATTAAGATGCCATACCAATAAAAAGGTACCCACCTAATGAAGTCCCCGTTGGGGTCGGTCCGACGGCCGAAGCCCACGGGGCAGTAGCAGTGGAAAAACTGCTGGAAAAATGAACTGCAGGACAGCCACATCCAGCTGCCTGCGTTCACGCTCCAGTCTGCGTCGAGGAGAAGCTCCTCAAACACCTGCGACACAAAGACAACAGGCTCAGTGTCATGGCTTTCAAATGCTGAACAACATCCTGCCACTAACTCTTTTATGTCTTCAAGTCAGGCTTTTGTCTTAATAGTGCTGCAACTACTTTTGTTAAAGGGGCCCTATTATGCTCATTTTCAGATTCATATTTGTATTTTGTGCCGAAATGTGCTATGTAAATAAACTTGCATTGACATTGATATTCTGGAGGTCACAGTTGTCTAGGCTTTTGATGAAAAGATCTGCTTCATTTGGAATTTAAAAAACAAACTGACGGGCATACAGTATATGGGCATCTACTAATTGATACGATATGTGTTTTCACCTAAATTAAGACCCCGTTTACATGGAGACGGTTCGTGTTGTATCTGCTACTTTTCTCTTTCGTATAGCCCGGTCGTTCACACGAGGCCGTAACGGAACCGCGGAAACGGACCACTCAAACGATAACGGGTCCCAAGGTGGGTAGGTCTGCGGACGAAACGCTCTGGGGGGCCAAACGGCTCCGTGTGTACGTCCTATACGATAATTTCCTGATAACGATGAAGCCTTAGCCCCGCCTCTCCCCACCTCTGCTGCTCACAGCTGTAGCATGGTCAGTAGCTACTGTCAGTAGCTACTGCTACTGCTACTGACCATGCTACAGATGTTAGTGCAAAATCTACAGCTCCTCTACCACAACCATCAGCAACAAGTGGACATGGAGAATTACATGAACTACATGTTGCTAAATCCACCGCGGAGCGTAAACAGAAGGGCAACCAGGCAACCATGCTCGGGGGGTCTTATTCGCTGCTTTTGGTGTATTTTATGGCGGAAGTACAGTGCCACTTACAGGCACGGCATATGTACCCTGCATAAACATGTCGGCCTCCTCACCTTCATCCCCTCCTCCCAGCTGATCCACAGGTCGCCCCTCGTGAGGAAGCAGGCCACAGCGTGCCGGGCCAGGTGATGGATCCAGCCCTCCTGACGCAGCTGAGTCATGATAGCGTCGATCCAGGGAAATCCTGTCTTAGCTTCCGCCCATTTGGCAAGTGCTTCAGGATTTTTGTCCCACGGGATACGCACGCAGATCGGGTTTCCCTCCATCTTGTCGAAGCGTGGGTTGTTGGTTGCTGTGGTGTAGAAGAACTCTCGCCACAGTAGCTGGCCGTACAGGGAGAGTGGAGGAGAGCTGTTCTTTTTCACCTGGAGAAAAATAAACACGGCAAGAAAACATTAAGTACACAATGTCAAGGTGAAAAGATAATCACAACCGAAAAATGTTTTTTGTTCTAAGACAGGTGTGCAGGATTGTGACAACAGTGCGCGGAAGCTTTTTTTTGCAACTTTTGGTAAGAAAATCTGAAAAATAGATATACAAGCATGCTGGCTTAGCTGTGAGATGTGAGATGTCTTTTAGATCTAAATTGAAGTAGCACTAGTCTCTAAATCTTACATTTGGCACTCATATCATTAGATTTTTGGTCGAGTTGCAACGACTTGATGTCTGGGGAATTCTAACCTCCATAATTTCTTCTCATTGTGCTTTATTCTACACCTACACTGTGACACATATGTATCACTACCTAGAAAGCATGCGCGAAACATGGGTGTCGCTGATTTGCTTTGGGTATTTTACACACTGCCTATAGGAGTTGATATGAAACAGCACAAGTCAACATGTATATTAGACTGGAGGAGTAGGGATCTGACCTTGCGGTAGAGGTCGGTGAGCTTGAAGTAGAACAGGCGGCAGGAGAGGCAGCCGAAGCGCAGGTATGGGCTGAGGCCAGTCGGGCTGGCGAGCAACGAGTTGGCGTTCATTCTGGGACGCTCGAAGTTAGCCACCCACGCCTGGAAAAAAAAATACAGAGAGAAATACAGGAGGTCAGAGAGAGAGGTAGGGAGTGATGAGAGGTACTAGATAAGGCAGGGCACTGTTATAAAAAGCTCATAATTTTAAAGAAATTGCATCATTACTCATAAATACTATATTACTATACCTTAGTATATAATTACTTGGTGTGCTTTGGTGTGTTATTGTACATAAACACAGTAAAATAAATTAAGATGTAAAATAAGAAAAAAAAGAAAACTATTATAAAATAAAAAAACAAGTACACATTTTACAAATTACTGATACATTATATTCAACATTTAAAGTGGAATAGCTAAGCTGTTTCAAATTGTTATTATAATGCAGAAATGTTCAAAATAGTTTAACACATTTACAAAAGTAGACATTACAGAGTCAAATGTTGTCAATGAGGAAAGTGCTTAAATAAGTGTGTTACTAGAAGCAGGCGGTGCAGTACCGACCTTTCTCTCCAGATGGCGGTCTATCCTCGTCAGAGCCTCGGTCTCTCCTCCGGGCCAGACGCCTGTTGGCAGGCCCTCTGTGTCAAAGCCTGAAAACAATCATGGGGATTACCTTCCTGCTTTAAAGTGTTGCAGTCACATGCTGGATGAGTCCACAATCCTTCAGTTATGTCATGTTCCCTCAAATAACAACATGTAGTTTCATCCAGCAGATACAAATCCATACAAAGCATCATTATTGTTGGCCTTGACAACTGTTTGGATAATAGAACATGTTGATCTTTTTTGCTTATATCCAATCTATGAATATAAATCTTATAAACAAAACATTACTGTGTTGTGTTGTGTACTGTACAACCGCTTTGTCATTGCCTTCAATTTGTGTATAAAAAAAGTCAGTAAACAAACGTGTTCCACACTTACTATGTACACATTAACACATTTAAGATAAAAAAAACTCTGCAAAGAGGGTTTTAGAATATTGTAATATCATATATTTTTTTTTAATGATAGTCCTGGTGTGTACGTTTGTTTCCTCACCTAGCTCCTCCAGGGACGGGACCCCGTACTTTTCTCCGTGGTCCTCAGAGACGGGGGTGACGCAGCGACCCATCAGGGCGTCTGACAGCGTCTCCACGGGCATCTCAGGAGCATCCATTCGACTGATCAGAGTCTGGAAACGCTTGTAGGTGAGAGGAGGCTGTCCGCCATTCAGCTCTATGATCCTGGGGAGGGATGGAGACAAGGACCGATCAAGAAGAAGAAGATACACTTTATTAACCCCTTACAGGGAAATTTCTTTCCCCACTCTGTTGTGTTTACACACATTACACACACGGCAGTGGCCTTGGAGGTGAACTGGCACCTCTCCAGCTACCAGCTCACTTCATCTTTTTTTGGTCCGATCGGGACGTGAACCGGCGACCCTTCGGTTCCAAGACCAAGTCCCTACAGACTGAGCCACTGCCGCCCAAGTTTGAATCTTAAATCAAATTTCCAACAGATATTAAAATATTACGAAAGGGAAGTCAACATTTATTTAGCAAAATACATAAAAGTAAAGCTTATTTTTTTTAAATTAAGTACTGCTTGTAGTCTATTATCTAGTTATATTAGTACAGCAAAGGAATAAATAGATATATTTTGAGATTCAAAAATAAATTATATATATATTTTTAACTAACTAGCTTCTAATTACCTTAAAAGGTTGATTCACTTTAGTATGTTCCTATCAATGCCTTTACATTCTTTAATGTTTTTAATGGAAATAAAAAATACATTTTCACACGGCTCATGGTAAATAAAACGAAATATTGACATTTATAGAAAAAAATATAATGTATTTATTATTTAAACCTTCAGATACGATGAGCCATCTAGCTTCACAACAATTTACTCACTAAAATAATCCATGTATATTTTAAAATGGTGTATTAGTATTTGTCTCACTTGTCTAGATCGTAGAGGGTGTGTGACGTCTTGACGATGACCTCCACCCCGGCCTCCATGGCCAGCTTCTTGATGGCAGCGTCTCTCTCCTTCCCAAACGGCTCTGTATCGTACTCAAAGGTCAGGCGAGAGATCTTCCACTCCTACGACAGGACAGGGAGATATCACAGTTTGCTCAGCAGGCACAAAGTGAGGTCTTAAAATGTTGTTTAATTTAACAGACAGTCCCAGACTCAGCATATTCTATAGTCAATATTTATACTTCTTAAACAACTTTGTTTAAATTAGATTATCAGAGCACGTGCTGATTTTCTGTTATTGCTGACCTTAAAGAGCCGTGGGAACACGTTGGCTGGTTGGCCTCTGATGACAAAGAGGCGAGAGTTGAGCTTCCTAAGGTTGGCATCAAGATCCTCCAAACACTGTAGGAGAAACCTGAAGAAGAAGAGGACAACAAATTAATTACTGATCATCTGATTATACCCTGGAGTCATGAGGCAAACAGAAATGTGTCTTTGACAGAAGAAATGGGTCCACCAGCAGAGATTCCGCAATACCATTTCAATGGCTGTAGCTTTTCTCATATAATTGTATAATAAATGACAATACAGTAGTTGAAATTACTGTGATAACTGTAATTTACCATAACTGTGAAATAAAATAACATATACTGCGATATAAGACTTCAGCCAAAACGCCCACATGTAGTTATGCCCACCTGTGCTACATTTTCGTTAAGCCCAACAAAAAAAAGTACTATTTATTTTCTTTCTAGGTCACTAGGTTTGATAAAAATGTGTGTGTTGAGAGACTCAGAAGAAATGTGTGTGTTTGGGGCTTTATGACGCAGTCGACCACCAGGCGAGAACACATCTGCCTCACTGTCAGACTCACAGCTTTAATGGATTCACATAGATTAGAAAAAAATAACATGGTAGCTCCCTTTGTGCCTCCATCCCTGAGGAAAAGAGAATAAAGCCAGCCTATTATTTGATGTGCCATCTATGATTACTCTAGGATGCATTCAACCTTTTTATGTGAACTGTACATTAGCATCTCCATTATTGCAAACCCTGACCATGTGATCATGATTGTGCTTCTGAAGCGTCAGTTTTTGTGGTTCTACCTGTGACAAATGGCCTGAATGTCGCTCGTGACACACTCTCCTCTCTGTTCTCCAAATTGACTAATCATAGCTTCCGGTCTGCAATACGTTGTGGCGGATAACGCTCACAGAAACCCTTGAACTTTCAATAATTTGGCCATGCAGTCAAGTGTGTGATTATTTTTTATTTTTCAAGGGGCACAAAACGTGTTCAGTCCTGTAATATCCTCTTACAGCTTCCTTTCCAACATTAAGCGATGTTTGGTTGCTAACTAAGCGATCGAAGTAGGTAGGGCGACATCCTGTGTTTTAGGCTTCCGGATATTATATCAGATTTCCTACTGATAATGCCAAACTGTGAGTGGGAATTAGTGTGTGTTTGAGGGGTGTGTGTTGTTGTTTTGTTTGGTTAAGTAACTGCCATGGATCAATTACCATGGTTTCCACGGATGTAAACCAAGAATAATGTTATCAGTTTTCATTGTCGGCCCATCTTCCAGTGTACAGAGGGCTGAAGTGTAATCCCTCAAGTATGATGGTGCAACAACACATTTTGGGAGCACGATACAAAGCAGTAATGTACACTTTAAGTAACACACAATTCAGATGTATGCAACAGTATAAGTAGAAGAGTAGTTGTAGGTTTCAACAAAGCACTTTGACATCCCATTCAAAGGTGAGGGCGGAGATGAGACCCCAAGGCTATAAGGATTATTTTACAAAACTAATAATCCCTGTGTGGTGTCTCTTTATTGTCATCGCTGTAAGACCTCTGCTCCCATAACATGTTCAATGAGGTCAAACTAAATCTGAACACAGACGGGCAGTGAGGTCACGCTAACTTGAGGCGTGTGCCTTCCTAAACATAATCTGCAGTCCCACTTTTCCCACAATAGTTAATCAGAACTCAGATATATTTGCGTTCACACCAAAAATCCCCCTGAACTAAATTAGTTCATCAGAACCATTTTTACCCGCTTTTCAGTCCCTGCTAGAGAGCAGGGACTTTCGTGGGAGAAAAAGGTTCCTATGTCTGATTGGCTGGGCGGAATGCAAACCACGCCCCGTAAAACTCCCAAAAGGTTTTGTGAAGCCGCCATTTTATTATCCTCGCATTAGCATTATTAGCATTAGCATTAGCCAGTCCCCAACTCCGGGGACTTCCGGACGGGGACTTCGAGTGGCAGTATACACCGTGAAGTTGTTTGCGGCCTGCCATTAAACTCAAAGCAGAAGAAGAAGAAGTGACGTCAGCGGCTTCATTTGCCTAATGTGAACACGATCTGCTTTAGTTCACCAGAACTAAAAGAGTTCTCATGAACTGAGTTCTCATGAACTATTGTGGGAAAAGAACTTGGTGTGAACGCCCCAATAGATATTGTTTAACCACAGGTGTAATTCTAAGAAAAAGAGAGAAAGGATTTGATAGCTTGAAAACTCAGAGAGGATGTACTTCAAATTATTTTACGATAACGAACAAAATATGACATTTTCTTTGGGCGGCTTATGAGAAAAATTCATCCCATATTCTGCAAAATGTATTATCTGTAGGGAAAAAAATGCCTGTCTTTGTGTGTGTGTGTGTGTGTGTGTGTGTGTGTGTGTGTGTGTGTGTGTGTGTGTGTGTGTGTGTGTGTGTGTGTGTGTGTGTGTGTGTGTATGTGTGTGTGTGTGTGTGGCACACTGGTAGCCTATAGTCAGTTCTTATATAACTGCTCTGGCCTACATCTGGTTGAATACACTCTCTCAGCATGGAATTTACCACAACCAATCCCTAAGCTGAGTAACATTTATTTAATAATTTTTCATAAAACAAAGTTGTATAGTGCCTTGATTATTTAAATAGCAGCTCAACAGACCTATGAGATATTTTAAGTTGCAGTTTAAGGTAAAAATAACACTCCTAATTGGATGATGGGGTGTCATACACCGACCCGCAGTTCCTTAAACTTCAGAAATTGTAATCAGGCCAACCCTCTTGACCCAACCCTGAGTCCATTAAATAACGCATGCTGTGCAGAAAGGCACTCATCAAACACAAATAACTGTATTTCAAAATCTAGTCAAGATAAAAAAACAATGAAGTTGTAGCTGGGATTTTGATTAAAACTTGGTACTAAAACCTTCCCAGAGAACCAAATTAAATCATGTTCAGAGAGCTATAGTGCAATGGGAATTTTTCATAAAAGGTTTCTCTTGAAAGAACCACTAAGATACTAATGATGGGAAAAAAGAGATTAATTCAGTTTCAAATGTTGCATCCAGTTATGGAAGATGAACAGTTGTGGATGCCAGCTAACAATGCTATCCATAAGCTTAATGAAGTCAGCATTTTAACATCAAAACAAGCTGACAATAATAAAGATGTGGATCCGCTTCACCAGTGACGTAAACATTTAGTTTTTAGAAACCATCAGCATCAGACACCACTGAAGTGTGTTTCCTGCCTGTGTGACGCCATGGCAATCTGTTCATCATAAAGATCAGCTGGACATCTATAGGTCAATGACTTCAGGATTGGATATTGATTCCTGTGCCTCAAGAAGCAGCTAAGAGCAAAAACCGGCCAGTGAGCAATGAATGTTAGATGATGTGATATCTGCTCTCCTCCCTGCAGAGCAGATATCACAGTTCACAATTAGACTCAGCTCTCACATGGACTCACAGAAATCCCCAAAACACAGGCCAAGATTTATCGTACAAAACACAAACACAGATCTTATATACAAACCATTTATCCCTGCATCTATTTTAATAACCTTCTAATACTTAAAGCCTGGTTCTCTTTGGGAATCAGACTCGTGCTGTAACCCATTTATTCAGCCACAAGGTCCTAAAGGCACGGACACACCAGGCCGATTATCGGCGTCGGTGGGCGTCAGGCCGATGATGAGCGCCGACACGCCCTACTCAGATTGGTGTGTCCCGCACCGTCGGGTCTTTTCAGCCGGGCCGACGCCTTTTCGGCCAAAAACCCGCCGATCGGCCAAAGGCAGTCGGCAAAATAAATCACTCTGATTGGCTGTTCAGCTAGCGAATCAGTGCATGAGAAGCGAAACGGAAGTGAGGGACCCAAACAAACTATTAAGAAGGCAAATCTGAGATTTCATTTAACTCCAGCTCTCGACACAGGTTCGGGAAAGCCCCATGAGCTTCTCGCTGTAGAGTGAAAATGGAACGCACACGCTATTTGTTGTTTGTTTATGTCACGCTGTCTGTTCTTCTTCTCTCGGTTATCACGCAGTCTGTCTTCCGGTTGTTGCCTCTTTTGAATGAAGAATACACACTACCGCCGCCTGCTGGTAAGGAGAGTTATTGCCACTCACGCATGCGCAGTTCGTACGTGCTTCTTGGCCGTCGGCTGAAGTCTTTGCGGTGTGTTCCAGTGCGACACATGGCCAAAATGCAGAGACGCGAGGCGACGCAACAGTCGGGGTCCGTCTGTGTCAGTTCTTTGTTGTCAGATTGGTGTGTCCGGGCCTTAAGTATATCTGCTGACCTGACCTCTATAATTGGGATTATGTGAGTGAAGACTAAAATAAAAAGGATGCCCTGTGACTGTGAAGCAAGCTGAGCAGGTGCATCACTGTCAAAGCTGTAAACACATACTTATTACTTCCAAATCCACTCAAACTAAGGTTGTTGATATTGTGTCGTCCCTGGTTCATTCAAAACCAAAACCAGGTGGCAAAAAGAGGCTAAACACGTTTGAATTCATTTGAATGCTGTTAATATATTGTGATTTTAAGGGTGTCCATTATCATCTGGCCGGTGACAACAGCTGGAAATTAGCAATGTTGGCTAAAGCTGCCCCATTTACTGTTTTTTTGTGACAGTTGATCTGTCCATGACACTATAAACAAATAAACTAAACTAATAATCCTTGATCCAAATTCTCACTTAATTAGAAGGAAAGCACAAGACTGAAAAGCATCCAAACGTTTGGCAGACAGTGAGCAAAAGTCTCCCTCAACCATCAAATCTAAAAGCCTTAGATACAAAAGAAACGCTTCAAAAGCAGAGAAAGGGTGACCCCCTGTTGTGTGTTCGAGCACTGCAGCTCTGTGGTTTTATAATGTTTGCTCTAGTTCCCTGTCTGCCCTTTCAGCAAATCCTGATTATGTATGAGTCACAGCTCCCAGAAGTCTCTCTGCAACTGACTTTGATCATCCTTATACAACAGGAATAAAGCAGTGAATTTCACATTATCTAATCTGACCCACTACTGTACACAAAGTGTTGTTTGTTCCCCCTTATTGCTTGTGTTTTGTTTTTGTGCAGTAATAAATATACATGGTGTTATTGGAGGTTAGGGTTACTATTTCTTTACTATTTCTAACTTAGGTGCAGTGGAAACAAGCTGTACACACAACATTGACAAATTACCAGCTTTTGAGGTCCTCATATTCATACTGTTCAGCTCTGCCACTTTAAATTCTGATGTACTTCACATCTTAATTGTCATTTTCATATTGTAATTACTTTTTTGTATGTTTATATATTTTTTTATTTGTATTTTTTTTTTATATAATTCTGTATTTCTTCGCTTTCATGTAAAACTGAAATCCTCTTAATCAAAAACGCAGAAGCAAAATCCTTGTATGTGTAAACCTACTTGCCAATAAACTGGATTCTGATTCTTTACCAAATGTAGAAATGTGTGATCCATGATATATAATTGCAGTCTTTAAACCAAAATTAAACAAAAGCGATATTTCCCACAAATGAATTATAACTCCTCTCACCTCCACCTGTTGACACCGACGTTGGACGAGCCTGCAAACCAAGGGTCCAGCAAGTAAACGCAGCGCACGGTGCCGGCTCCTTTGACCGCCTGCAGCAGGGCTGGGTTGTCATGGAGACGCAAGCCTTTACGGAACCAGTGGATGGAATTTGGGGCCATTTTGTTCTGAAGAGAGTAAAAGAAGAAGAAGAAGAAGAAGAATGAGCAACTAAATGGAGCTTAATTTTTGGAGCTGAATGAAGACGTCATGTACAGAACAGAAAGATATGCTCTTTGCTACTTTCTCTTTTCTTTTTTTTACAGTTTTCTCAGTACAAAACAAAATGTCCACAAACATAACTGTTGGACGTTCCAAGAATACACAATGAGCAACACATCGCTAAAGCCAAATCATTTAATGCCGTCTAATTATCGTTTATTGTTTAAAACTCACAATTGAGTGACCTTTAACAATTACGACAGATTAGGATTTTATGACATAAACTTTGTTGTTGCTTTATTGTTGCAAAAGATTATGATATAACCCTGATTATGGGTTGAGCTGTAAATCAAAAGACTACTGATGGGTTTGCGTGCCAATAATTATTTTCAGGAACTATAATTATGATGCCGGAGGACATTTTCCTAGATATTTCTCTCTGTACTTATTATTAAAGCTGTTCATTTTAACATGCATCCCATGTGAGATAAAGCTACTAGATTACTAAATAAACTGGACCGCAGTCCTGAACATCAGCAGATACTGAGGCATTAAAACATTGAAGTCTTAATAATTTACCAGCAGCACAAGTGATACTTTTAAATTAATTGCCACTTCAAGACGGATAAAGCCAGGCTTTCTTCACTTCATAGATTAAATGACAGTTAATCAATCAATGTTTATTTATATAGCCCAATATCACAAATGTTACATTTGTCTCAGTGGACTTCACAGTTTGTACAGAATATCAGTATGACAATACGTTAATAACAACAAGCGTATGATGTACAGGACAGGACCCCATTTAAAATCAGCTGCACCATTACAATAAATGTAAATACTGTCGGATGCATTACTTTTGATTTCCAAAGGAATAATACAACTGATTTTTGGCTTCACATAATGAGTTTGTGCTAGCTGTTGAATTGACGTAAAATAATGCCACCAGAAGATGACACCAAGAAGCTAAATTGAGAAGTCGTCACACATTGTGAAGTGAAAACTAGGCCACACTTGTGAATCAAGAGTGATGATAGGCAGGGTCTTTCCCAAGCAAGTGCAAGCACTACTGGTAAAGGAGGTCACAGACATATGGACATTAGTAATTTACATGATTGGTTTAAAAAAGTTACAGGTCTAGGTCTAGCATCAGCGGAGACAGAGACTTGCAGGAGTTGAATAAAGTTTTGGTGTGTGTTCTCAAAACTATTCCCTCAGTTGATATGGTTCCTAGGCATCTTGTACATGTTGTATTTACCTTTTAGATCACAATAATTTGTCATGAATAGGCGACAACTCATCGTCACATTCTCAGCCACGTTGAGAATTATTTCAGGGTGACAGCTAGAATTTGCCAGTTTTTCTGTACAGTAACACCAGACAGCTGGTGACTTTTAGGGCGCCTCTGTGACAATACAACATTTGTCATCAGTGTTGAGAACACTCATGTCTTGTCAGTAAATTCATTTAATTTTTTTTTACAAATACCATGTAAAAACAACACAAAACCCCTTAACACTGACCTAATTTTATATAACTTAAAATATTTAGGGGATGAAAAAGGGACAGGGTGTGGATGGGACACCAGCTGAGAGTGACTTGAGCATTTCAAATATTGCATTGCATAAGAAAGATGCAAAAATGAGTTGCACATTTACAGTAAAGAGTAAACAATATCCAAATAAATGTTTCTATTGCTTGATATTTGAAATATACAAATGTTTTAAGGTCAGTGTCAAAGTGATGGTCATGGTTTGTATGACTTCTGCAAAAGAAAATTAGGTCACACCGTTTATTCTGAATGAATTGAATCGACCTCATAGACTAGACATTATGGCATCTCCCATAATTAATACAAAATGACAATAATAATAAGGAGCTGCTCTCAAAATGTCATTAAGGACTGTAAATACGTCTTAAAAAATATACTTTAAATTCAAGTGCATGGTAAGGAAGCACCATCTCTGTAGAATAAATCGGGGTCACCAGAGCAATCCTTATGTAAACGCTGTTGCTGGTTATACAAGCCGGTTTCCCTTTAACACTCAAAACCCACATATGCAAAAGACCCTTCTTACCTTATGCCTGCTCCTTGTAGTTTATATTTATTTCAATTCCAAAGAAAGACGCATTTCTTCCCAGTGTTACGATGTACGGGGTAGTGCTGTGAGCCTAGAAGAACTCTGTGAATGTGTCTTCTGCTGTTGCTGCTGCTGCACTAGTTTCATGAGAGTTAGGCTCACTGCGCATGCGCCAGCCGAATCTCATTTTGCTTTCAAGCAAGCCCCCAGGAAGTGCGCCGGACTCTGGCTGCATCTCAGCGGTGCGTCTCACTTCTCTTATTTTTCATTTCCTTGCTCCTCGGGCTCGGTATCACCGAAAGTTGATTTGTCTGTGCCATCTTGAGTACCGTCCCAGTGGCCTTATTTTTGCCGGAGGACCGAGGATCGAGGATCGAGGAGTGATAACGGAGGAGCGATAATCGAGGAACTACCAGACCATCCTCCGAAATCCTCAGACACTCGCCCCGCCCCCTTACTGTGTATTGTTCATCATCAGAACCATTTTTACCCGCTTTTCAGTCCCTTCTAGAGAGCAGGGACTTTCGTGGGAGAAAAAGGTTCATATGTCTCATATGGCTGTGCGGAATGCAAACCACGCCCTGTAAAACTCTGAAAAAGTGTTCGTAGCCGCCATTGTATTTGCTCGCATTAAAAACTCAGTGCAGCGCACCAACGAAGAGATTACTTTTGTGAAAGCAGTTATTATAGCAACACTAAATAAATCATCGGAGAGGTGGAGTAATGAGGATGTGTCGGCGCTTCTGGGGATTTACTCGGAGGACGCGATCCAGAAGCTTCTACTGCAAAATATAGGAGTGCTGTTCAGCAAAGTTAGCCGACCTGGGAACCGTCCACAGCGCAAAGTCATGCCGTTGATGATAATGAGGATTACTTTTAAATCACCATCCAACCAGCAGAGAGAGGAAATCCCAACATGGCTGCCCATCCTCCAAACACACGCTGACATCAGACACCTAATCTCTGTCTTTAACGTCAGAAATTCCCAGGTGTGCAAACGCAGAGCTGAAAATGTGTCTTTTGACACTTTTTCTAGAAGACCTCTGACCTCTTGCATACAGGTGTGAAGACGCAAGGGGACTGTGCAAATTAACAAAACACCTCAAACTTGCACAGGAAAAATGATTTGTAAATATATAAATACATTATTGTCTTAAAACTGCTGCCACCAGTCAGTACATACTGTGTGAACTCTGAAGCAGCTATACATGTAAGTTATAGAACAATTCAACTCTTGCATATACAGATTTTTTCCAGAGACCTTTTTGTACTTTAACTACATCTTTGTGCTATCTACGTCACCCTGTTCTACATTCCTATGGTTTCACAATGATTTGTTATAGAATTATTCTGATTTTCACAGCTGTTATATTTCTGTGATATCTTTATTTGAATTTGCCCTTGAAAATTCACTCCCATTCGCACCTCTTTGTCTCCCCCAGAAATATTGGGAGTTTCTAAAAGATTCTGTGTGTAGAAGAAAATTGTATAACTTTGGAGTATCTCTGAGGCCTTCTGTGCTGAAACCAAAAACATGTTGCAATTCATTTACGAGAGGATGTGGATGTAACTTCTTTCCAATAACATGAGGACAGAGAACAGTTTGCTGAAAACTCCTTTTAAAGTGTTTGTTTTTTTTCGAAAATAAAAAAACGTGCTGTATAACAAATAAAAAAAGTTGAGTTGACACAAAAAGAGAGAAACGACATTCCTCAAAAACCACTACCCTCCTGAAGACTGCTGCACAGGGAGTTTATTTCTTATGTATTGCTTCTTGCAACATTTTGCAGCCCAGATTTGTGATTTGCCAGAGTGTGTCCACGATCTCATGAAACGAACGATGGTAAGCGCATACAAAGGGGATGCAAAATGGCCGCTGTAAAGTTGTCTATTGGAGGATTGTGTCTTATTTAGTTTCTACCAAACCCTCACTTTCACCTTTAATGCCAAAACTAATGTCAGGTTTCTAGGTTTGGTACACATGAAGTAACCCTAACCGCTGAGCTAAAGGTATTGCTACTGTAACATAATTCTGTATGTCCTTAAGAGGATTTCGGGACATTGTTAGTTTCTATCACTATGAAAAAACAAGTTTTTTTGTTTTGTTTTGTTGAGCAGATGCCATCTATCATCTCTGTAATATTTATCTATTTCTTCGCTTCTCCTTGTGTTGTGAAATACTTTTCTTGTGCTTGATTAAGTTCATGACAGGAAATACAAAACTGTTACTGACACCTTTTCGTCTCGGTTTTTAACCGCGGTGAAGTTAGTTTTAGGTTGGATATTCGACAGACATTCGTGGACCCGCCAGCAGCGTCAGTTTCCCCTGCTGCTGGCTGTATTACGAGGGCGAGATCTTCTCCGCGAAACGAGGCTTTAATTTAGGGACCATCAACAAATGACTTTTCAATTACATAAGAACAATGTTCTCTTAAATAAACCGACAGCTTCAGCGTGTGAATATGAAACAAATCCACTCTAGAGCATACATTTGTTGAACACACATGTTGTATTGCATTGTAATACTTTACATATTTTATATTAATATTTTTGATGGGAAAATGAACATATTGCTTCAATAACTTCTAGGTCATGTGACCTAATGACTCAAAATCAGTGCTGGACCAAATAACTACACTGGCTGCATTGGACACACCTCTTCTTATTGCATTGTAATACTCTAATATTTGCATATTCATATTTGTATGGGGAAATTAGCATATTGCTTCAATAACTTCCAGGTCATGTGACCTAATCACTCAAAATCAGCTAATGATCAAATAACTACACTGGCTATATAGGACACACCTCTTTTTATTGCATTGTAATAATCTAAATATTTTATATGAATATTTTTATGGAAAATGAGCATATGGCTT